CGGGTAATCGGGGTTCTACAAATGTGTACTCCCCTTGGTTAGGTTTCTGTCTTTGCACGCAAACTTATTTCAGATACAACCTTAACCTCTCCCTACTGTGTCAAAATGAAAAACAAGGAAACGAACAAACAAACAAAAAAGAAATGAATGTTGGAAGGAAGCGACGAGATAACTATTAGAAATGCGAGGCTTCCACGCGAGAAACTACGCTTTTGTCCAGAACGTACCAAAACAGAACTTTTTCCAAGTCAACCAATTAGGGACCAAATCAGTTCTCTTTGGAACGGAGAATACCGAAAGTTACAAAAAGAGCCTGTCTTGGTAATATTTGACCATTTCTTCTTGGAGAAATTGAGAAAGGAGTGTAACTAGAAAAACACGTGAAACAGACAGCTCGTCAGAGGGGAGTGAAGATGGCTAGGACAATGGTGTGGAGGAACCAGTGGAAGTTGAAGAGGAGGAACACTCCTATGGCGAGGAAGGAAAAAGCGATTCCAATGAAGACAGCGAAAGAGATCACCGAGAAGATGGACAAGACTTCGATGGAAAATAGAAGAAAAAGTACGGGAAAGGTATGACAGTTTTTGATTTCTTATTATAATCCCACGCCCGACCACCTCCTTTTACCACCTCCCTTACACTTTCTGGACTTAGTGGCTAATCGATCTTTACCGCCACCGCTCAAAAATACGCTCTTGAAATAACAGGGTACGCGGGTATGTGGGCGATATTCGAAGTATATAACATAAATGAAAGTTATTGACCCGAACTTAACTAGATTAACAATTTCATTGTCACTTACTTTTACGCCTTATAGTGAGTGACAGGCCTGGATCTGGGAGGAATTCACGCCAGTTATGAAGGAGTCCTGAAGATAATGAAACAGAGAAAGTGTTCCCTTGCCAAGGCCATGGAGAAATATGGAGTGGCCAGAAATACGTTGAGCGGATTCATCGGAATTTGTGAGCTAAAAATCTTGGACAGAGATAAGTTCAACATGATTGTCTGCGCGGAGAGGGAGCGTTGTGGAAAGCCGTCGGTCAAAGACATCGAGCTACGTTGCCGAGCTACCCTGTCAGAGTACAGGGCGCAGTCCAATCGATTCAAGGAAGAAGGCAGACTTCTTCCTTTCTTTCCTACAAAAGGCTTTTACACCGGAAAGTAACAAAGAAATTAAACTCTTTAGGCGTTTAATTGATAAAGAGAAACTAAGGATCTAGGAACTGCCACTAGCCCCGGGATGTATGTCTTACATGACTTATCCAACCTGTTCTTTGTAATTCTTTAGAAAACAAGAACGTGTAAGATGCCCGTTCTGAGGAATTGAAGAAACATAGTTATAGTTTTCAATCCCTTTTTAAATGAGCTGAACTGCTCTCAGTCGCTTAGTATATCAGTTAAAATTTTAGGAGCTCTATCTGAGATAATTATGATAATGCCG